CCCCCCCCCCCACTGTCCCCACCATCCTGGTGGCACGTTGCCACCTGTTCAAATGCTTTTTTGCACTCTGACTGGCTGTTTTCAGCCAATCAGAGTGCAAATAAAGCATTACGGATGGACAGACAGACAGACAGATGAAGGCTTTTATAATATTAAAATATAGAGGATGCTAAAGGAAAGCAGTGCAGTATGGCAACATCTAATAAAGCAATTACCCCAGTACCATTAACAATGACACAAGGTAAATACCATCAAACTTCCAAATGCACTAGAAATATGTACCCTGCTAAAGTTTATTGCACTGATCCTGCAAGTTGGTCCATGAGGTAGGGACCTTTCATCTGTGTGGATCCTTGTTAGATGCAGGGACAGATCTGCACAGATCATGTTCAGTTATTGGAGACACACTACAGCTCCTTAAATTTCAGAGGCCAATTCTACTCTACAACTCACCATAAGGTCTTTAGGTCCCATGATTTACACATTATATTTGCATAAACTAAAATTTATCTGAATGCCATGGAAATTCACTCTAGAATCTCAAAATCAAGTTTGGGCCTTTTCTTTCTGCATATTACCACCCACTGTACGTTTTAAATTTAAATTTGGTCACTAACAGAGGTAACTAAGGAAAGAATTTGGCCCTACCCCCTGGAACGTAATTAAAAATTATGTTTATTATGGTAAAATGGATGGGAATCCACCTCACTCTTCTACATCTATGTTACCTCTGCTGCTCTAACTAGAACATAAAGGTAGCAGTCAGTTCACTATGCTGAAATGGCTATGTGTGCACTATAAAATGTGTGAGTAATCAGTGCCATTTTTAAACAAACAACTTTTAAGGTTAGACATGCACTTAAAATGCAATTTTAACATACTGCTGAAGGAGAAGTTGCACTGTGATCCAATTCAGATAGAACTGCATTTTCTGGATCATATATCCATAAAGTTAATACCTAGAAAATAAAGAAGAATAGTTTGTTGTCAAATATATCATATTATGATCCAATTTCTTTGGAAGGGACATCCATAAAGGCCTGTAGTAATTATATCATATACATGAGAATTAACTTAGACAACATGAAAATTGGGTTCTGGTCCTGTGCTTCTTACTGAAGTAGAACTCCTGTTGTCTTCAACAGGTAACAGGGATTGAGGAAAGCCACATCCACTCTCTGTAATATGAGCACTAATAAGAAAAAGAAGCTTGCACAAGAACTTATTCTTTCCAGTTCTTTCATCCTGCCCTGAGCAGCACTTCAGTCTCATTCCTTCCGGTGGAGCTGCTGACCCCTGTATTTCTGTTGTAGCACAGGGGAAACATCAATGGGCATATTTCGTAAAAAAGAAACAACTTTGTATCTTGACAAGGAGAAGGTAGAGAGCTGTTGATAAACATATACTTCTGCCTTTTGGTTCTATAACTGCCATGGAAACTGGGTTCTTCAGCCTGACAGTTTTTGGGCTTGCCTTCCAGAAACAGAACCATTTCTGATCAATTATAATCATTGCAGTCAGTCAAAGAAATCATTCCCTGTATGGAGCTGAACAAACGTCATGCATACTTTCTCTTTCTTTGCTGTTCTTCAGTTGTTTAGAGTTGTAAAATTTACTCTTGGATAGAGGGGCAGGTTTTGGTGGTTTCTCAGAGGTGGCCACATAGAACATAATTAATGCTAAAAATAAAACACTGTGGAGTATTATTATGTTGCACATATTTGGTGGATTGGATTCCACATCAGAAATTCAACAGTGTTCTGAATTTGGTTTGTAATAAATGGCATATGTTCTTTTCTCTCTTGTATTTCCCTACTTGAACACTGTCAGGACAAGGCTGCGTAAGGCTCATGCCCTACAGCCTGATCATTGGATTCAGCTGACCCAGTTAAACTAACCAGGGCCAGCTGAGACCTAGTCTTTAGGAGCACTAAGTGAGGCTTATACCTTGAGCTTAATGAACTAATGAGCACTAGCTTCCCTTTAATTGGTTTTATGTCTGCTCTTAAGGAACCCTTCCAGCATCTAAGCCTTGCTGCACAACTTACTGTGTCCAGTCTTTGTGTGGCTCCTGTCATCGTAACTCCTCTGACACCTTGATTCTTGGTTAACCCCCTGGCTCAGTGTTTGGACTTTGTCTTGACCTTGGCTTGCTCAGTTAACCTTCTGGCTTGGTATTTGGACTTTGGCTTGACCTTGGATCGCTCCTTGACCTGATTCCTGGTTAACCTTCTGGCTTGGTATTTGGGTTTTGGTTTGATCTCAGCTTGCTTCCTGATCTGGAAGCTCTGGTTAGTCCTCCACTTTTGGACTCTGGGCTTCAGTTCCTGCACCTCAGTTTGGAACCTGAGGTGCCCTCAGTCGTTTCTCACCCAGCATTCATTCCTAAAACTCTGCTCGTTCTCATACCCAGCTCTACCCACTACGCATGGGGTGAACTGTTACAAACAATCTCTCTCATAGATGATAAGAAAGGGGGTTTCTTAAGAAATAATTAAATATACAAATTATTTGTTACAGTTGGTAACGGTTGTGAAATAACAGTGAATTTTATAGACTGAAGGATAGGTCATAGTACTTTACTATATACTGAAATTTTTAATTGGACTCAAATAATCAGTATCGCAAACTAGAAAAAACTCTAGAAAACAGAGAGAAGGAAAAAAAGGCCTCAATTGAAATCAAATCAGTATTTTGTAGAAGTGTGAAAGAAACTGGGGAGACTTGGATTAAGACATTAGACAAAAATCAGAATAAAAAAATAAAATTTACCTGGGTATCATTGTTTGAGGGTGGAACTGAACTAGAGAGAGAGAGAGAGAGAGAGAGAGAAATTACATATTGTTTCTAATTAATAATAAATGTGCTATTTTGTAAAGCAAAACTGTTTTGACACTCACCTTTTAATACCCTGCTTGCATGTTGTCTGGGAAACATTTCTACTATGTTTTATATATTTGTGCTTGGCTGGTTTATTGCTTAGATACTTCATCATTTATATAAAGGAGGACTTTCTAACTTGCTAATTTTTCTTATTTATAAAAAGAACACTAAAAAAATTACAAACAAGCTTCTGGAAGTTGAATGCAAAAATGTCTTTTTTTGAGTTCACCTTCTTTAAACCTGCTGTGAAACCATTTTGCTTAATTCTTATGACTGTAATAAAAGGTTATTTCAAAAGAAACCAAGATCACAAGAAGAAAACTACTGTTCTTCAACATGTTGAAGAATGTAATTCTAAGAGAAGCAGAAATCTATTTAAACATTATCTCAAATTACTAATGCCTAAAAATCTTATTTTAAGCACTATCTTTCTGATAAAGCTGAGGACTTTATTTAGTTTCAACTGTGCAAAGAATAAAGTTCTACTATACCTCCAGAGTGAAATTCTTGATCCATTGAAGTCAGCAGTAAAATTATCTTTAAAGGGTGGAAGGTGCCCCGATTTTACCCTCCTTTTTTAGAAGCCCAAACCAGACACAGGCCAAAGTTTATAGTAAGGGAATTTTATATTAAAATAATTATAACTCAAATACTTGCAAAAAAGACAATGTTTTGTCATACTTTGCTGGAACATTCCCCTTAACTTCAGAATTAAACTGGACAGGCAGCAGATAAGGAATTGGCTGATTGTAGGGATATGTATCTGAGTGGAAAGGAAGAAAGAGGGAAGTAGTTATGCAGAGACAGAACTTCTTCAGGCATAGGCTTCAAGAAAGACAAGTCTGGAAACTGGGAACCAGCAAGTTATTTTTTGTATGTTTCTTCTGTGTTCAAGGAAACAGATCCCTGTGTACAGTCTTTGTAAATGAGACAGGGTTGCATCAAACAACATACATGATGCACACAACCAATTTTTCCTTCACTGAAATTGTTTTTCCTTCTTTAAAAGAATCTGGGAAGGCCTAAGCACATGGCCAAAAGAAGGGTAACACAGACCATCCTCTCAGGAACACACAAGTGTGGAATCAGGCAGACATATATACACCTCATAAGCATTTAAAAATGAACTAGCATAAGGAATAATACAAGTCTAGTCAAAAGAAAACAATAAAACACTTGTAAGCTTTCCCCTGCCCTAGTTTCCTTGCTGTCCTAAGGGACACCCCCTGAAAGTCCAAGGTACAGAATTGCCCAGATTCTGCACACATCTCCACATCAGTCAGTGTCCTCCTGCTCTATGGCCAGTAAGAGAGACTCTTAAAACCTCCAATCCCCTTTGTCAGATGATCAAAATCCCCCATCACATGATCTGTGACTTAAGTCATTTCCTTTGTGAAGTTCTGCATTGGAAAACTGATTTTTCCTGGACAGGAGCTATCTTTTTGTTCATAATATGCTATACCTGAATGAATGATCATAGTTTCAAAGCTCTTAATTAGCTCTGAGATATGCAAAGTCTTCTTCCATTACCTCCTCTGACTTCTAGCTTGATACTAATGTGAGGGTGATGTTGTAGCCATGATGGTCCAGCAATAATGTGACAGGGAAGGATTTCTTAGGGTGTTATTTTATAGGACCACCTATGTAGTTGGGATAACGTTAGACAAGTTTTTGAATACAAGACATCCTTCATCAGGCCTCTGATCACATGGAGCTAGGCATAGAATAATATGGAGACAAATAACAACAAAAAAGGCAAGCAAGCCCTACATTTAAAATGAGGTTTCCAGTCTGACCCATCTATTAAAAAATATTTGCAAGCTATGCCCAGACAGATTCCCCAAGTTATAAATTGGGGCATTAAGAATAACAGCCTCATTAGAAATATTAGCTGAATACTGTTACGTTACATATCCTCAAATACGCAATCTATACTGATCTTGCCAGTGTCCATCTCTGACCAGTTTATAATGAGAGAGGTAAGATAACTGAATATCACATTACAGAACTAGGCCAAAAGTATGTTCCCTAGTAAGTGATACAAGCAATGCATTCAAGCTGTGTGTGAAGTCCTAGGGGTGGCCATGATCTCCCCTAGCACCCCCTTACCATGCCAAGTTTACTTCAAAGCACCCTCAAATCTCACCCACCACATCTTGATCTTAAATGTTAAAGGGAGACTGCCTTTCGTCCTCTTGGACACAGGTTTCTCCTGCTGTCACTCGTTTTGTTCTTTTAATGGGGCTCCTGTGCACCCCGGCCTTATGGGCAATGTGTGGCTCCAACCACCCCTGTACTACACCCCAAACCTCGCAGATGAACCAGACATTGTTTGGTC